AAAAAAAATAAACAAAAATAATACACTGAAGTATTATATGCAATCTTTCCTACGATCAAGGACAACATTTATTAATTCAATAAAGTCAATCATAAAAGAGAATGAAAATAGGATGTCAAAGTAAAAATATAAAAAATAAATAAATAAGGTAATACACTGCATTATTATAGGCGAACCTTCGTACGATCAGACACAACATTTATTAATTCAACAAAGGGTTTTATGTTTGTTATGTTACATGATGTAACATAACTTTCCTACACACACAGTTTTATATGGGTTTCATTCTTTGATATTTCTCTCTCCTCTCTTTTTTTCAATTGTGTGTGTTAAGAAAATTATGTTACATAACGCAATGTAACTTTTGATTTACCCTTCAACAAAATCATAAAAGAGAAAGAAAACTGGATGTCAGAGTAAAATCAAGGCAAATTATTTCAAGCACATGATTATTTTGCCCATCAAAACCAATGGCTCTCCCGGCCCAATGGATATTCGTCTTTGATGGAGTCGGTCCAGAAAAGAAAGGCCTTCCTGAAATCATTCAAATCTATTATGAGGCTTTTGCGATTGCTACAATGAATGAATTAATGGTCCAGTTTAAAAATGAAAAATTGGGCGTGAAGTTTGTGTCTCTAAATATAAAAACTAGGTTGGGCTTAAGTAGTTGGGTTATCTGTAAACCCAAGAATTGAATCCGACCTTGAGTAGCAAAGAAAAATATGAAGCGTGCACGCTGGAAATAGGGGGAGCAGATGGATTAGTCATAATGTGTTTAAAGATATGGGTTTTATGTTAGTCAATTTAGGCAAGGTCATGATTTATTGGGTAAGATTTAAAGAAACAGGCCTTGGGTTACCCAATTCATTTTCGTTAGCTCTTGTTTGGCTCTAAAACATTAATTCTTCACTATAACTTTATAATGTACAGTTTGAATGAACCTTAAACTTTTTATGCTTTTTTTTTTTTTCATTATGTACATGGAACATGATGCAAGTTTATGTTGTTATTGACACCCAACTTTGTAGTACCAAAAAAAGAAAATGGAAAAAATCCCAGAACGTTTATTATATAGTGAAATGTCGTCATGTTTTCATATCAATTACAATTGTGTTTGCACAAACTTTTATAAAAATAAATAAAAATTGACACAGTTTTTTTTTTTTTAAAATATATTCTTTTTGGTTTGTCAAAATGATAATAAAATAAATTTTTATTAAGACTTTGTTTTTGAAAAAATAAATTTCTAATTAAATATTTTTAATTAAAATAGTACTTTTTCTAAAAAATTGAAAAAAAAAACCCCTAAATTTAATTAATAAGCACTTATGATCTGACTACAAGGAATCGAATCTAATGACACACGGTCGAGCTTGATTTTATTTGGAGTATTCTGATATTGAAGCTTGTAAATTCAAATATTGTTGGCTTTCAAGAAGGATGATATCTTGGGATGTAGTCTGGATGTCATAAGTTGTAGGATCTGATTGGGATAAGAAGGTGCGGGCACGTGTAAAACACTTTGATGCTCAAATTAGTGTTTGAGTGAATGTGTCCACTAAATTAAGGTAAGAGCCCATCACTGGATCAAGCCCAACCAAAATAAATTCTTAGTTAATAAGAAATGTGTAAGATATGCATATATCTCATCCCGCAAAATTACTCTCAGCAGCTTAGGACTAGTCACCCAACTCATCCAACCAAAGACTGAATGACGTCATAGGCAAGCTTTTCAGCTAACTTTCAATAATGTAACTCAGCAAGAGACATCCAGTGTAAAGAGACTACGAGGACCACCCAAATGAGTCAACCAGAACACAAATCAAGTAAATCGCCACACAAAGGCGATTAGTTGAGACTACAAGCAAATTATGTCATGCACTATAAATGGAAAGGCAAATACCCACTTATATTCATCTTCTCCATATTATCGATACACATTTACTCAACTATCGATACTTTGTAGCCCATATCTCTGGACCATATCAATATATATATATATATATATATATATATATATATATATATATATATATATATATATATATATATATATATATGCAGTTTTTTTTTTTTTCAGTAGTAGCTCCTGCACCGTTAATGTGGCAGACAGTGTGATATAATTATTAGCAAATAAATTGGTTATAAAAAAGAATACCATATAAAATATTTGGATAAAACATAAAAAAAATATGAAAAAAGAGAGGGGGATGTCACCAAAAGATACTCGCAATAGCCCCATCAAGGAAAAACCTATGTATCAAAAAGAAAGAAAGAAAGAAAGATCAAGGCACCACAAAGAGGAGAGAAAACTTTATAGAGGGGACGAGAAAAACTTGGGCTGAGTAGATTTGCTAATGCAAAATATTGTCCTGATTTAAGGCTCCATTTATTCTCTATAGTTTAAATGGTCTTAAATTGTATATATTAAACTAAATTTAGTTTAAGTTCAAAAAAAAAAAACCTAAATTTAGTGAGACTCTATGGATAAAATAAATAATTCATTCACTTTATTTCACAATTTTGTTTATCATAATTTATAAATTAATGAAGGGAATACCATTGAAAATGATATATAAATGCGTATATAAAGGAAAATTTGTGGAGAAATTATAAATATGGCCAAATCTCATGTCAAATACATTAAATCCCACGCAATAAAACATTGAATCGAATTGAAAAAATAATATGTGTGTGTGTAACAATTTAGTAAAAATTCCATCAAGCATGTTGGGACAACTCAAATCTCGGCAAAAAAATTAATTTATTACTTTTTTAATAAAAAATTACGAATAAGTAGTCGTTTTGAAATTAATTACGAAAATATAGCAGTCAAATACGCTTCATCTGGGCGTGACCGGTTGGAGAGAGATACGCCTAATTTGGGCGTGACCGAGGAGAGAGACACGCGCTGTCTGGGCGTGTTTCACCAGGTGCTACCACGTGTCACAAAAGTCAACAGTTTGACCGTAAAACTTTGGAAGTTCATAACTTTTGACTCGGGTATCCGAATTAGGTAATTTTTTTTTTATTCCACATAACTTTTCGAGATCTACGTAATGACACCTCATTTGGCATATTTTGTCTCTCACAAAAAAAATTGAATTTACAATAATAATACCATAAGAACGTTTAAACTCAAATTAGTAAGAAGAAAATCATTGTTATGATTAGAAACATTCATAATAAAGATCCTTATGATTATGGTAAGTTATGATAAAGTTAATTATGTATGTTATTGAGATATATAATAAAAATTTGAATGAAGAATTTTATGAAATTTATAATTTTATTCGATTAACATCTGTCGGTGACAGAATATCGAATAATTTATATTAAAAAGTTAAGTGAGTGCTTTTCGTTTTATTTTGATTTTAAGTTTTTGTTCATGAATATAAAAATGTTAGATTATTTTTAGTAATAATTATAAGGTAATAAAGTCATGTCATTTTTAATAATTATGGTATCATTTTTAATAATTATGGTATTATTGTAAATTCAATTTTTTTTTTGTGAGAGACAAAATATGTCAAATGAGGTGTTATTACGTAGATCTCAAAAAGTTATGTGAAATCAAAAAAAATTACTTAATTCGGATACCGAGTCAAAAGTTATGGACTTCCAAAGTTTTATGGTCAAATTACTAACTTTTGTGACACGTGGCAGCAACTGGTGAAACACGTCCAGATGAGGCGTGTCTCTCTCCTCGGTTATGCACAGATGAGACGTGTCTCTCTCTAACTTGGTCACACCCCATGTGGACGTGACTCACGCTTTGGTCACGCCCCACATGAGCGTGTTTCTCTTTATTAGAACACGCCTCATGTAGACGTGTTTGACTGCTATATTTTCGTAATTACGACTACATTTTCATAATTTGTTATTAAAAAAACAATAAATTAATTTTTTTCCCCTCAAATCTCCTGCCTCTAACATTTTCATACAGTGAAAGCAAGACTACGACGCTTGGTGGCTTTTATGATTATTGCACTCATAATTTTTCTGGATACCAATCAGAGAGGGTACACAATAATACAAACCGAAGTAAAATTGAGTTTGTACACGGCGCCGGAATTGGGGCCAATCCCTTTCAATCGAACTGCATCAATCGAACCGCAGTAAAATGAGGGGTATGTGACCAAATTCTTTCGAGTTTTATAATTTATATTGGCAATAATAGCATAAATTGTTAATATCATCACTGTTATAAACTTTTTTCAATTAAACATAGGTGTGTCCTGAATTAGAATGGATCGATTTTGGGAGGAAAAGCTCATCGATCTAATTTTATAAAAAATTTATAGTATCATTTTATAAATTTGATTCAAAATATAAATCTGATCCAACCCAATCTATTTTAAATCAGATATATTTTCCTTTTTTTGTATTATTCAATTTTATATTTATCATTTAATTTTAAATTTTAATCAGATCGGTGACATCTTAAATAACAGTAATAAAAAATTCCAGTAAATTGCTCGCGAAGTGTTAGGTACAAGGGGGGGAAGGACAAAGGTTTTGAGTTATAAAAGATCACGTGTATTGCTCGCTCTGCTCAAATGATTAGTCTCCTACAGTGGGAAACCAATAAATGCCAATAAATTTCACATTAAATTTGTTTTTATCTTTTATATATATCAAATTCAAAGAAGGCACCCACCCCACCTCCGACCTTTGCAAAAATAAACCCCACTAAATTGTCTCATATATTTCTCTTGGAATTAACTTATTAAGCATTCACAACTATTAAAATCCATGAATTCCACGTTTCATTTATGTCCATTTCAGTCCCCACATCACAATGGCCCCCATGTCCCTTTTTTTCCCCCATTTAAAGTCCCACTCCCAATCCATCATCTCTCGTATCCCTCTCCCTTTCTCTCTTTCTCTATGTGACACTCACGTATCATGAACTTGTTTCATAGTACTTTTGTGACATATATGTATCATATATGATGAAGAGTACCTTGGAAATCAAGCCTACTAATAATAAACTTGGAGAAAATATGATAAAAAATAGCCCACAAGATTGGCCCGAACCAATAGTCCGTGTTCAATCCTTGTCCGAAACCTGCAAAGATTCAATCCCTGAAAGGTATATCAAGCCTCCTATTGACCGTCCATTAATCATAAGCTCTGATGCTGATGCCAACATCCCAATCATTGAACTTGGGGCTCTATATGGTGATGACCCAGATGCCCGAGCCTCAACACTTGAGCAAATCTCTGAGGCTTGCAATGAGTGGGGTTTCTTCCAAGTCGTAAATCATGGGATTAGCCCTGAATTGATGGACATGGCTAGGGAAACTTGGCGTCAGTTCTTTCACTTGCCCATGGAGGTGAAACAGAAATATGCAAACTCGCCAAAAACATATGAAGGGTATGGTAGCAGGCTTGGAATTGAGAAGGGTGCTATTCTTGATTGGAGTGACTACTATTATCTTCATCACCTTCCCTTGTCATTGAAGGACTACAACAAATGGCCCTCTCTGCCTCCCTCTTGCAGGTTCATTATACATATTATAATATAATAAAATGATCATGAACTTAATTATTATTATGTATTTTTGTTATATGTGTGTGTGTGTGTGTCAGTGTGTGTGGTCCTTGTGTATGTAACATAACAAGGATGAAAATTAAATTGAATGCAGGGAAGTGTTTGATGAGTATGGGAGAGAGTTGGTGAAGTTATGTGGGAGGTTGATGAAGGTTATGTCCATAAACCTAGGATTGGAAGAGGATTATCTTCAGAATGCTTTTGGAGGTGAAGACATTGGTGCATGCCTAAGGGTGAATTTTTACCCAAAATGTCCAAAGCCAGAGTTGACTCTGGGTCTATCATCGCATTCAGATCCAGGAGGCATGACACTCTTGCTTCCAGATGACCAAGTCCACGGTCTTCAAGTTCGCAGAGGTGACAATTGGATTACGGTGAAGCCTGCTCCCCATGCCTTTGTTGTCAATATTGGTGACCAAATACAGGTCAATAATCTCTCTCTCTCAATTATCCTTATAGAGAATGTTTGGTTGAAAATTCATTCATTCATTCATGCATGATACATGAATCTGTCACATGGAGGGGACACACAAGTTGAGGCGTTTATTTTATTTTATTTTTATTTCTGTTCTTCGTCATATTTTTGGATGGATGTGGCCTTACAATGTTTCTGAGCACATATCTCATTTCATGTTTAATTTTATTTATTTTTGGGTAGAAGCGAGATATTCTTAATTATATTTTCTAGTTTATACCTCTGACGTCGGGATGGTTTAGGACATGAAGTACGTGGGATCAACTGGGGGGTGGGGTGATGATACTTGGACATCAATTTCATTACATTATTTTTATACTATATATATCCTTTTTCAAATAATAATAATACAAAGTAAAACACACATTTTAATATATATTTTTCTATCTTTTCTTACTCAAATAAACAAAGTGTAAATAGGATGTATGTTGGTACGTGTAGAAATATCATTATCCTCGTTAATATGGGTTTAATTTGATTGATTGAGATCTTTATTATAAAGAATGTTCTTTCACTATTGCACAATCAGCGCGCACACATAAAGCGGATAGACATTTGTCCTATTAAATGGCCACAGGGGTTAACGATAAGGTCGTTTGTTTATTGGCATGACATTTCTCAATAAATGATTTTATATTACAAGCTTGATTTTGCTTTTACCTTTCTAGGTTTGTGACTGTAAGTTCTGTTCCCATTAGTTGTAGTGACCAATTATACCCTCATCAAATAAAAGCTACGACCAATGATCTACCAATCATATACAATATGACTAGTAAATAATTGCATCTTTGACAATGTTCAAAAGACAACACATTGCGCCTTGTAAAATATTTCCACTGTTCCGGGGGATCCCGCCTGAGGAATGACTTTGGTCTTCCCACTTAATGGACCGCAATGGCCAAGGGTAGCCCGGGACATGGGATTATACCCACAACCCAGCCTTCCAAAATTCACGATCATTATTTTTGGTAACCGCTTTAGGGTCACTCCACATTACCATAACTGCTTCCAGAGAATCTATATATACCGCTACAGTACCTTTAGAGAGTCGGAACAATTCATATTGCTCACCCTTACAATCTAATGCCCCAAGAGCTATACAATCACCCACCCCTTTATTGTTTACCCAACGAAATTTGGCTAGAGATGTTGGATCATTAGTGCCAGTAATCTTTTCTACTTGCTCCGTAAATATAATTACTATATAGCCTCTACGCTAGACATTGGTGTTCACCCCAGAACATTTACCAAGATGAATTTTTTTAAAATATGTTGATTAAATAAGGTTAGAGCACACTCCAATAATTGAGAATTAAAGGCTTCAACTAAAAGACTACAGTTTAGATATAAAGTGGGGTTTTAAAATATAGAAGGAATCTATCCTGATTTCGTATAGTGTATATTCTAATTAAAAAAAAAAAGTTGATTGATTAACTTCTCTTATATGTACTATGTAAAAATCAAAATAGATGTGCAAATAAGCACCTAGTGAGTGCATGAGTATTATTCCTTCCATGAAGCAAAAAAAAAAAAAAAAAAAAGAATAAGTTGGCTGCCCACAACCGTATGATAATGATTTTTATGCGTATGACACTGATATTGCCAAGAACATTCTGCTCCGGTAAAAACACTATACGATGTATAGCATTGCTCCTAAAAAGAAATTCATGTTATTCATTCTCAATGAGCACTACCATGAAATATTTAAATGTATATTTGCTTGAGCAATTCCGTGGTATTATAAGGTATTAACGTAGATCTTTACCTCTATTTATGTTTGCATGACGATGTTACTTCTAATTTAAGTTCAAGATCTTTAGTAACTTATCAATATGAAAGTCATGATTTGTTTGTTTTGTGTTTGACAAGGTACTAAGCAATGCAATCTACAAGAGTGTAGAGCACAGAGTGATAGTAAATCCAAATAAAGAGAGAGTTTCCCTAGCGTTCTTCTACAACCCCAAAAGTGACATACCAATAGAGCCTGCAAAAGAGCTGGTAGAGCCTGATAGACCTGCACTCTACACTGCCATGACCTTCGATGAATACAGGCTCTTCGTTAGATTGAGAGGACCACGTGGAAAATATCAAGTAGAATCTTTAAAAACTCCAAAATGATCGATGAACAAGGGCATTGCTTACATTGTATAATCATCCGCCAAACATGCAATCCCTCTCGTTGATATATATTCAGATAATAGTAACTCTTGTGATTAGATAGGTACTTGTTTGAACAAATTGCACATTAATTAAGCCACAAATTGAGTACAAGCTGAAGTTGATGGATATCGAATATATGAAGTTGATGGAAAAAGATGTTTTGTTCTTCCTGATTAGTTTGTCATGGCTAAATTTGTATGGTCCACAAATATCATCCTAGGTAGTTCTAAGATATTTGTCCCCACTTCCCAACCCATGATTGTGGTGATAAGTGCACCATAATTTTAGGTGCGATATTAATTTGTCGTATGCTGCTATGCTTGTGTGTACTGTATTGAGTATGATGCAGTGCTTGATAAAGGCCTTCTTCAAATTCAATGCACTTAAGTAATTATTGAACTCCACTATTCTTCCTTTTTCCCATACTTTCAGCTGGCTGTTAATTCAAATAAATGATACTTTTTTTTTTGTCCCTTTTAATCTTTTTTTAACAAAAATATAGTTGTATATTAAAAAAAAAATAGGTTATTCTACTTACCTTTTTTTTGCCTATCATCCTTCAACACTATTAGATCAGAATCTCAAGAGAAGAGAGAAAGATAAAGATTAGTTGAGATTCTGATCTAATGATATTTTAGAGTGATAGTCAAAGGTAGACAGAAAAAGAGGTAGATAGAATAATTATCCTATATATATATATATATAGAATATGTATATACTAGAGTTGTTCGCGGTCTAAATTAGATCGATTTTGGAAGTAAAAATCATCTGATCCAATCCCTTTGGTTTAATCATGTAATCATCCATTCGGTTTGAATTTTTTGACAAATCTGATCCGATCCAATCCAATTGGATGAGACCGGTTTTCAGTTTTTGGAAAAGCCTAAAATTTGTATGATGATTATTTGGCAAATAACATGTATTTTATATGTATCGACTTTGTAAAGTTTGTATGATGATTATTGTGCAATCTAGAAGCATTGCACAACAAAAAGTTAAATTATCATCTTTCACTTTCAACAAAAAAATTTATAATATGGTTGCCTGAGATACGAAGTAACCCAAATTTTCATCCTATGGAGAAAAAATTTAACATGCTCCAGGCCCACCATTTATTCAGTGGTCCCTTTTCTATAAATGAAAATTTTTCTTCCATTTCTACCCTTTTCTTTTTGATTTTTCCCCCCTCCATCCCTCCTTTTTTTCTATTTTTGGGAGGGACCACCATGGTCCCGTCCCACAAAAAATCTTCTCCCTATGGAGGAGCTGTTGTACAACAATAACCTATGTAATAAAAATATAGAATCTATCTTACCAAAAAAAGAAAGAAAAGCATAACATAGATCAAGCACAACTCACTTTCTTCAACATGATGGGTTAATGAGTTTTGGATTTAAAATTTTACTATATGGTTTTTGGGCTATGATTGGGAAAATGCCCAAGCAGGTAGATGATAAGGTTGGAGAATAATTGGATCGGTTTGGCTTGGCTTAGTTTTCACAAACCCATCCAATCCAATTAAATTTTGTGATTTATTTTTCGGTTTTTGATTTTTCGATTTTCGGTTAATTTGGTTTTTCGGTTTGGTCACCACGATTTGGATCGGATGATAAACACATCTAATAGGGACATGTTATTCTACCTACTTTTTTTTTCTGCCTACCACTCTCCAACACCATTAGATCAGAATCTTAACTACCTTTATCATTTCTCTCTCTTATTAAGATTCTGATCTAATGGTGTTGAAGAGTGGTAGGCGTAGGTAGAATAACCTATCTCATATATATATATATATATGTGTGTGTGTGTGTGAAAAATATTTCATATTTCTATAGCCACTTTGGATAAGGTTATTTACATCTACCCTTTTATAACTATATACTTCCGGGAGTACATAGTTATAACATTAAGATTACTTTTTTCTCTCTTTCCACATCGGCAGACAGGTTCTCAAAAGTAACTTTAATGTTATAAGTATATACTCCCGGGAGTACATAATTATAAAGGGTAGCTGTAGATAATCTAATCTAAAGTGGTTGTAGAAATATTCATCCCATATAGAGAAAAACATTTATACAGCCACTTTAGATAAGGTTGTCTACAGCTACCCCTTTTTAACTAAGTACGATCGGTCGTACATTAAAATGTATTTTTTTCTCTCCGCCACGTCAGCCGATAGTGTCTGAGGAGAGAGAGAAAAAAAGCAGCTTTATTATTATAACTAAGTACTACCAGTCGTACTTAGGGCATGTTTGGTGCATAGTATAGGATAAGGCCTTATAGTATAAGACCTGATAGTATAAGGCCTGATTGTATAAGACCTGATTGAATTTTAATACTATCAAGCGTTTGGCGCGGTATTGTATAAAATAATATATTGTATAAGATAATATCATCTAGTATCTGGCAATGCACTGTATAATACTATATATGATAAAAATATATATTTTTAATAAAAATATCCTTTAATAAAGAATTTATATAATTCTTCAAAAAATGTCATATGATATTAATTTTTATAAAAATTTATTGATTAGTGTGTCCAAAATATAAATTAATTTTTATAAAAATAAAAATATTCAATATTTTAAAAATTAATATATTGAAAAATAAATTTTTATTTTAATTGATTAATATTAAAATAATATATGAATTTTTAAGAACTACATTAGTCAACGATGTTAATACATCAATCTCTTATCAGGTCTTATCCCTCACCCTTAGGCCGGATTAAGTTATACATCGTTTTGATGTATTAAGGGATTACGCTGTATAAGCTTATACTATACGATGGTCACACCAAACAGCTGAAAATGTCATAACGTATAGTATAAGCTTATACTATCATGCCTTATACGTCATACCAAACAGGCCCTTAGTTAAAAAGGGATAGTTGTAGATAACCTTATCTAAAGTGGCTGTAGAAATACTTTTCCTATATATATATATATATTTATGTATATATTTGTTGGATTAAAACCAATCAACAGTTATAATATAAAATTAAGTAATTATAATAAGTTGTACGTATAACCACACTTTCTCTATATATATATATATGTGTGTGTGTGTGTAACTCAAAAGTTTTAATATATATATTCGTTGTGAATTATTTTAACCCAAAAAACTTAAGCAATTATGAAGACATATGAATGAGTTTATATATTAAATCATATTTCTAACACAACTATCATTTTTTTCAGGGATAGGTTATTCTGCCTACTCTTATTTTGTTTACTTTTGCATACCCCTCTCAACATCATTAGATTATAATTTCATCCAACGGTGAAGATTTGCTGGATAAAATAACCCTTTTAATCTCTTTCTTTCTCTCACTGCCTCCCATCTTTTTTTTCTCCTCCTCTTTCTCTTTATAGCATTTCAAATTTCAAATAACAGAAAAAAAACAACAATCCCAACAATAATTTTGAAATCATGGGAGGGGGGAAGTGCTAAGGTATAGTACCCTGTTCAACATAATCCAAGTATTTTCTCAATCAATTTCAACTAGAGGAAACACCATATTTTCCCTACAACCATGGCGGTCTCTTTCACACTTGAGAGAGATGAAAATCACGATCTTCTTCGAAATTTGGTTATTGAAAACAAATTATTCGATGCCCATGTGATGTATTAATGCCAGTGAGGGGAATTACGAGAAGAAATTTTCACAAGTCAAAACAAAGTTATGTCTTCATAAAGGAGGAGAGAGAAAGGGAGGGAAACCATGAGAGAAAGAAAGGGATAAAAGAACTTATTTTATCCCAAAAATCTCCACCGTTAGATGAGATTATAATCTAACGATGTTGAGAGGGGTAGGCAAAGATAGGCAAAATAAGGGTAAGTAGAATAACCTATCCCTTATAACTATGTACTACCCAGATTACATAGTTATAATTTTTTTACTGAATCAAAGTTTAGATCCAGTAACATGACAAATCATTTACCAAAGTTTAGATCCAGTAACATGACAAATCATTTTTCATATATATATTTATATATATATGGGAAGTTATATTTACAACCTCTTACAACCATATCTTAATCGTTGATTTTCGCCAATCAACGGTTAAAATTTTCGCAAAACAAATTTATTAATTAATTATTAATTCGTAATAAATGATAACCGTTGATTAACGAAAATCAACAGTTAAGATATGATTGTAAGAAGTTGTAAACAAAAATAGGTTGTAAGTATAACCTTCCCCTATATATATATATATATATATATATATATATATATATATATATATATATATATATATGGGTTTTAAAAAAGTTATGTTGTAGAAAAAGTGATTTTGTCATGTTATAGAGATTTATTTTCTGTGCCTTAGTTTTTTTTTTTTTGCTTCAAGAAATGCTGGCCCATAAAATGTTGTGTGTGTAGAAAAAGTGATTGTATCATGTTGCATGATGAATATAAACCCTTATATATATATATATTGGAAGGGTTATTTTGACTCTAGAGTTTAGAAGTCTTACTCTATATCTCAACTGTTGATGGACGGAAATCAATTGTTGTCATTTATAGTATAATTAATAATTAATTAATTAGTATGACTTCCTAAATTATAACTGTAAGTCTTACTCTGAAGTGAAAATATCTCTCTCCTATATATATATATATATATATATATATATATATATATATATATATATATGAGAGAGAGAGTTATACCAATTTATTAATTATTAAATTCAAATAAATAAGAATTGTTAGATAAATGAAAATCAACGACTGAGTTGAGGAGTAAGATTTGTAAGTTTTTTACACTGGAGTCAAAAAATCCCTCCATATACCAATTAATTAATTATTAAGTTCAAATAAATAATAACCATTAGATGGTTAGAAATCAATGACAAAAATGAAGAGTAAAACTTATAAATATCACACTGTTAAAAATTCCTCCCCCAAATAACAAATTGTATTTTCGGTTTGAAACTGTATTCTCTCA